TATCCCCTAGTGACCAAAAGGGAAACAGAAGCCCAAAGCGGTGGGGACGCGTGCCAGGGTCACCCTGCAACAAAGGCAGTGCTGGGTCTGACTCCAGTCAGCGCTCTTCAACAAAAGCCTGGTTTCAGAGACACGAATGGGGAAAACCAGCACCGAACTGCCTCCACCTGCACCGGCCAGTTGGTCAGACTGGGGGCGGGAGGTGAGCTGTTGGGAGCTACACCAGACGTTTCAAATACCAACTGTTTCACCCAGGGGAAACACATTTCAGTGGAGTTTCCGGACTCAGACAGACCAGGAAGAAATTTGATCTACACTCAAAAATTACGTCATGAAACCTACGGCTCTCAACAGGAGATTGCTCACTTGTGTGAGCAGGCGAGCCCTGCGGTCTGGAAGGTACTGAAATGGCACCCCAACACGGCAGCAAGCAAGCAGCTGGGCAAGGACGGGGTGATGCGGACTGCGACGTGTGCAGTTGGGGTAAGTCAGAGCCAGCAGCAATCGGCCCCCACCATCACCTACTCCCAGACGATACAGGATCAGTCCCAGAGTACCTCTACCAAGCCACAAGAACCTCATGCAACAGCAGCCGCCACAAAATACAAAGCTATTGTGTCTCAGCAGACTCTTCATCCGGGATAATTCTGCACTCTTGATCCACACCGTGTGACACCCAGTGTCACCGTGTGACACTAGTCCTCAAGACTGAAACTGCTCCTCTTAACTGTCCTTTGAGTGTGGGAACAAAACGAGTCTGAAGGGGCAGGGGCATAGAGCGTGGATGGGCAGAGTTTCGCAATGAAATTCTCATAGGCTGGCCCCTGCTACCCTCACAGAATGAGCAGGTGAATTATCATGATGGGGCAGAAAAACCCTTGCTGCAATTTTCTTGGCCATATTCTTGCTAATGGTTTTCAATTTTCTTAAAGCTTTTTCCTAATAAGCTCGTCACCATCCTTTGGGGACAATCTAGGACTTCCCGTAAGGCAGCGCTTCTCAACCTCAAGACCTCTTTGGGTATCGAATGACCCTTTCACAGGGGTCTAAGACCACTGGAAAACACATACATATTTCACAAAATATATTTATGTATTGTTTTGTGATTAACCACTATGCTTTCATTATGTTTAATTATGTTCAATCTGTAACAATGAAAATACATCCTGTATATCAGATATTTACATTACCATTCATAACAGTGGCAAAATTAGTTATGAAGTAGCCACAAAAATAATTTTATGGTTGTCCATGTAGATAAAGAATGGTCAGAAACTGATTATGGTAGCAATCATACAATGCTACTTGGTGTGACTAAAATACAGAATGGTATGATATATGTATTAAATCCCAACTAATTAAAAAAAATGTCCTAAAATTGATTATGGTGAGGATTCTACAATTCTTCTTGATAGGATTGAACTATTGAATCTTATGATATGTAACCTATATATCAATACGACTTAAATATATGTTAAAAGAAACAAATTAAATAATACCTATGTATTTCATTGAAAACAAAATAATTTTGTGGTTGGGGGTCACCACAACATGAGGAACTGTATTAAAGGGTCGCAGCGTTAGGAGGGTTGAGAACCACTGCCCTAAGGCATCCCCCCGTCAGTCAGTCTCCAGAGCCTGAGCTGACCACTCTGCCTTGAACTTGACACAGCGGAGCTCCTTGGAAGTCAGTGTTTGGGTGGCCTCTTGCTTTCCTTTTCAAAGGCACCCTAAGGAGACGATGACAAGTGCATGGCTGAGAGAACTTGTCTACAGCCACCCACTGATCTCAGAGACACGTCTAAACACATTTTGTCTGGAATGATCGTGTGCACGCATGAATGAGAGCCCCAGTCGCAATACCCTTTGCATTCCCCTTGCATATGATCTATAGACGATGGATGTTGACTGCCTCTGCACATGCTATCTCCCTCCCGGGTGCCCTTTTAACTCCGTGCCTGCCTGCCCTGCATCCAGACTCCCCTCTACAACCCAGCTCCATCACGCTGTCTCCTACGGGGCCTGTCCGGTCCAACCTCAGCCGGGTGCACAGGGCACGCGATGTTTTATTGATGTGCTTATCTCCTTAGACACGCAGTGGGTGCCTGGAGGGCAAAGACGAGACTCCTTATCTCTGGATCCAGAGTACAGGGTAGTCGCTCAGGAAACGTTCGGTGAGTGACATCATTCTTTTTGCAGAACCAGCTGGTGCTGACGTGAGGAGCCTTGGCAGGTGCTCAGGGCCCTGGCACACACCAGGTGGGAAACAGTGTCCTCCCCCCTTCAGAGATGACCCTCAGGATGGAGACCTTCCTAGATGTCCTCCTGTCACACCAGCGACAGCTGCTGGAGAGAGGAGACAACTGCCAATGACCCTGATCCACAGGAAGCCCCTGGCTTCTCCCTTCCTTCCTCCCAGGAGCTCGACTTCACCCAGCAGTGTCCCTGCCAGTGAGCCAGGTTCCAGCACTGCACAGGTACTTTGGAAAAGGGATCTGGGATCAAATGCCCAAGGAAAGGGGTGGTTTAGGAGCACCTTAAAAGGCCCACTGGTGACTGGTGTGAAAAGTCTGAGATGTCCCCCAGCAGGGCCAGCCGTGTGACCGGCCTTCAGCCCAGGGCCTGCCAAACCTACGCAATGCAACGCCACCACATCCACTTTCACGCACACACACCCAGTGCGTCTCATGAGTCCCTGTAACACTCTATGGAACAGGCCATTCTAGAAACGTGCTCTCGGATATGCTGGCAACGCCCACTGGGCAAGGGGGACATTTGGAGAGGAGGGCCAGCTTCCTGGAGGCTGGCTGGAGACAAGGGTGCAGGGCCCACGTGGCTCCCCCTTACAGCTGGGGAGACCTCTCGCACTGCGCTCACTGGGGCCCCGTTTTTCTCTCCAGGGTAGTTTGTGTGCTGCTTCCTCAGGACCACCTGTTCCCAGATGCCCCCTTGTTTTGCCCATGGGCATCCGGGGACGTCGGTGCTCACGGAAAGCTGAGGCCCAGCAGATCCTGATGTCACGGGTGTGCAGTCAAACTTAACCCGAGTAGAACAGACGAAAGGATCTGATCCCTGAAACCCAGCAGCACACACAATGTGGACCACGAATTTCAGGGATAAACAACTCCCAGAACCCCAGAGGGTCTCAGAGAAAGAGTGAGCCCTGGGGCTTCGAGCTCCAGAAGTCTCTGGGTGTTGCTGGAAGAGGCAAAGGCTCGGGGCCCACGCTGCCTGCTTCACCAGTGTCTCCATCTCCTCAGTGTGCAGGATGAGGGAGAGATGGATAAATAGAAGAATTACCGTCAGCCTCGGGGGTGGTGGGGGTGGTGCAGGCAGGGGGATGATGAGGTGAACCTGCGGGCACATAGTGGGCACTCGGTGAATATCATTAAAGACAGCAGGGACTGGAGACGTGGCAGGATGCCTGCAGTCCTGACATGAGATTTGTGTCTCAGGGTTGTTGGCCAGAGAGGGGGGCATGGAAAGGATGGCTGCCCCTGGACAGCAGGCAGAGGGTGGGTACTGCGAGGCTCTGGGCAGAGCGGTGGTAAGTGCCAGGAAAAGCCAGAGGAAGGGAAGGGTCGCTCGCAGCCCAGACAGGACCTACCACAGAGACCAGTCCTCAGCCTGGCCCGGCTCACCGCCAGTAAAGGCAGGGTGCATGTAAAGATGCCACTGAGTCAATCCTGACCCATAGGTGCTGTTGTGGGCTGGAAACCACACGGTCAGAAGTTCAAAACCACCAGCTACTCACAGGGAAAACTTCAAGGCTGTGTATTCTCATAAAGAGTCTCAGAAATCTACAGGGACCGCAGTTCCACCCTTGCCCTATAAGTGGCCACCAGATGTAAAGGTGAGCAGTCTCTAAAGTAGTGGTTCTCAACCTGTGGGTCAAGACCCTGTTGGGGGTCAAACAACCCGTTGACAGGGGTTACCCGATTCATAACAGTAGCAAATTACAGTGATGAAGTAGCAACGAAAATAATTTTATGTTTGTGGTCACCACAACATGAGGAACTGCATTAAAGGGTCGCGGCATGAGGAAGGTTGAGAACCACTTAGCTAGAGGGTTTGGTACTCCCTGAGGGTCAAGCACTTCATCCATACTGGTCCCAGGTTCAATTAGGGCCACAGAGCTGTGGAGTCACAGAGCTGAGTCTGAACTCTAACCCAGGGTCGTGCGCAGGCTCTCTCACTGTGCTGTGCTACCTCTGGTGCTAGTCACCCGCTTACAGCTCCTCAAGGTGAAGGGCTGGCCCTGGCTCATCTCTACTGGGACAACTGCAGGAGGTCCACGTTCGGTGCCCCGTGCACTGATACCACCTCTTCATCAGTGAAGGGCCGCGTGTTGCCGCGATGCCAGGCAGGTTTCAGCACCCAGACGATGACAGACTAGGAAGAAAGGCCTGGCAACCTACTGCCCCAAACTCAGCCAACGAGAACACTCCAGAGCACGGTTCCACTTCCACACACAGGGGACAGCTCACGTGGGCTGAGGACAGCGGGCTTAACTGGTACTGCCTAAACGGGCCCCTGCCCCTTATGCCACTCAGAAGCAAAGGGCCTGAGGCCTGAGGCCCCTGTCAGCATTAAACCACCACCCACCCAGGGCCGCTGTGTGGGAGATGGCACGCACCGCAAGCATACCCACTGGTGTCTGGGATTGAACTGTGTGCCCCAGATATGCGGGGTAGCCCTCATCCTGCCCTGTGGTTCTAACCCCATTGGGGAGTGGGCTTCGTGATTTGAATTAGCACCTTTAGTGGATCCCTTTTCAGACACGGGCGAGCAGATTAAACAAGCACAGTGCAATAAGGGAAGCCAGAAGCCCGGCCACAGCGGGGGCTTCACGGCTTCAAGGGACAGAAGCTGAGAACAAGGACCTTCCCCCGAGCTGACAGAGCTCTCCTAGAGCCCGCACCCTGACTCCAAACTCCTAAACCCAGTGACAGAAGGCCTGGTGGCGCTATTGAGTAAGCACTGGACCGCCAACCACAAGGTCTGCGGTTCAAAGCACCCAGCCGCTCTGGGGGAAAAGATGAAGTTGTCCGCTAGAGAGGAGGTTTACAGCCTTGAGATCCACTCAAAGGCGGTGGGGTTTCGACGGAGGGAAAAGCACTGCCTGTTCCTTAGGGCCACCACTGGTGGGACAGCTGTCACAGCGGCACCAGAGAACCAAGACCTGCAGGCGCTGCTGGGATGAGCCCTCTCCAAGGCCGGGCAGACTCTCCAGCAGAGCTAGGGAGGCGGCTGAGAAGGGAGGCCTCTGTCCGGCAGGCTGGCTCCCTCCCCTGGGGAGGAGGGAGGATCACGTGCAGGGGTGGTTTCCAGGTGTCCTGGTGTTGCTGGCGCTGCTCTCGAAGGAAGAGTGGAAGTTGTGAATGGTTTCCTGTAAGATCAGCCTCTCCCGTCCCTGCGGAAGGAATGGAGAACAGACACAGAAAGTGGTGTTACATCAGTTGGCACGGTGCTGCTCATGCTCCGCTCACACGAGAAAAACCCATCGGCGTCTTGGGGAAAAATCATCACCTAATTGAAAGAGTGCCGTGTTTAATAAAGAGGCACTGAGTCAGACTCTCCCAGCCCGCCAGCACTGGAGAGGGCCTGGGAAAGCCAGCCTTCCTGTCCCTGGAAGCAGCTGGGAGGCAGAGCCCGAAGAGCAGGGATACCCTGCCCCGCTCCTCTGATTTCCAGGGAGCTCCGTGGAAGCGGCATTCTTCCTGCTCCCTCTTGTCCCTTTCAGAGCGAGTCACCCTCCCACCCTACTCCTGCAGCAGCCCCGCACAAACGGGGGTGTGGATGTTTCTCTACGGCCAGAGAGCATTGTAGCTGAATACCTGGCTGGGAGGTAGAGCCCTAGGAAGTTAAAAACAGCCTGGATGTAAGTCCCTTCTCTCCTATTTATGAGCTAAGTGTGAAATAGGTGCCTCTGACGGCTGCATCTGAACCCGGAGCTGCCAGCGAGCACCAAGTTTACAGGTATGTACACATACATATACAGACATATGAAGGGACTTAAAAAGTTCATGGGAGCATGGAACTAGAAGATCAAAATAAAAAATATCAACCCCATTTCTCAGCCTAAGCTCCACTTTGGGGACTCAGGAATTTAACCATGTCATGGCAGTCTTTTAAAAATTATTTAGTGAAGGAAAACAGGTGCCCTTTAGAGGTTTTTTTAAGATGAGGAAACAAGAGGAAATCAAAAGACACCACTTTGGGATGATAGAGTGGGAGCCTCTTAGGAGTGCTGGCAGCAAGGGTGTTCTTTGAGGACACAGGTGCGCCTGGCCTGAGCCAGGGCATTTTCGACGGCTTCACCTCCAGGTGAAAGTTGGACAGTGAATCAGGAAGACAAAGAAGCGCCAACGTATGCGAATGATGTGCCGGTTGAGGATGCTGAAAGGACCATGGTCTGCCAACAGAGCCAACACACCTGTATGGGAAGGAGTACAGCCAGAATGCTCCCTAGGGGCAGGGATGGCAAGACTTCGCCTTAGGCACTGCGGACGTGTGGTCAGCAGAGAGCAGTCCCTGGAGGACAGCACGCTTGGTTGAGCGGAGGGGCAGAGAAAGACAGGAAGGCCGTCGACGAGACGGGCTGACGCGTCGATGGGCTCAGACGAAGAACCACTGTGAGGATGGCACGAGAGCAAGCCGCATTTTGTTCCAGGGCACATACGACCCACATAACCGTGGGAGTAGAAAGCCCTGTCTTTCTCCCGAGGAGCAGCTGGTGGTTTCGAACTGCCAACCTGGCAGATCAAAGCCAAACGTATCCCCACTAGGCCACCAGGGCTGCTTTGGCCTCTCAAGGCAGATGAGAAGAGCAGACGGCGTCATCCCAATGCCTGGTTCTCTGACCGGAGTATGACTCCCCTGAGGGCCCAGTGTCCGTAGCGTGGATTACACACATATATAAACCAACAAATAAATGTGGCCCTAAGTGGGAAGCAAATTAAAAACTAATGCTCCCAGCATGGTTCTCTGCTGAAAGTGACAAATCGAAAGAAAACGAACACATTGAGTCAGTCCAGGCGTCCAACTTTCTCTTCTTTCACTTCCAACTCCCTGTGGTGTGGGTGACCCCCCTCCAGGCTCCTAAGCAGGGGTCTCTGTGCTAAGGAGACTTTCTAGGCACCAGGGGACAAGCCTTGCAAGTAACTTTCCCCAAGTGAGGTCAAAGGGGGGGAAAAACAGAACAGAATTTCAAACTCTCATGGAATCGAAGACTGGTTGTGCTGGGGCGTGGAGGCTGGAAGAGCCCTTGACAGTACTGCCACAGACCACCTTTCAGCCTTCAACCGTGAACCACGATCACTTCCTGAAGCCTTCTTAAAAGCAAACCCGTACAGACTGTCTTCCTTGAGCCATGCCTTCTTTCAGGATCCATTTGTATGGGCCCAAAAGGTCAGGGGGAACCTTGGGGGAGAGCAGTGAGTTCACGGTCAAAGTGGAAGGACGACTCTGAAGAACAGGATCACTGCATTGTTAAGCTGCTGTATGACCCTGCTGGGCATATTCTCACCGACAACAACACAAATTAATTACATACAATTAGAAAGTAGCAAGGAAATGCCGTGAAGGCTGCAGGGCGGAAGCCCCGGGTATCTGAATCCCAGCCCAGGAAGAAGCCTCAGTGGCTCCCCCACTCTGCAGAACTTGTGTATCAGTGGAATGGGGGTGACGGGACTCCCCAGGGCTGCCGTGGGGCTTAGTCTCCGATAATGAATGGGGCAGCCATGCACAATCTGCGGAGGGCTGGAAGACAGATCCCAGGATGACAAGTGTTTTCATTATTAAACACCACCTGGGCCTTACTGCCTGAGAAAGGAGGTCAGGGCGAGACAGGGTGCCAGCACTCACTGCCTCCTCACCTTAGGGGGGTGGGGCGGAGCGTAGGTGATTAAAACTGCAATTGCTGCAGCATCCGCAACGGATTGGAGACGATAATGATAAGCGTCCTTTCAAAACCCCTGCCTTCAGAGGACCTGCTGGTAATCCTCAAAGGGGGGTCGGGGTGGGACAAATGGCCACTCAACATGGAATGTTTCCTCCATCTTCAGCTTACCTAGAATTTAAAGGGAAGGCAAGTGAAACGAGATGCCCCTTTTAGCCTTAAGAAAGGTTCGAACATCACGGGTGACAGTGCTGGCAGGGTGGTATGGGGACTGGGAGCCCATGCCCGGGGCTGGCAGGGATGCCGCCAGCTCTTTCGGTAAAGGAAGCCAGGCAGATGTACCAGACACCCTGGCTCAGACCCCGGGACCTAGCCGTACCGGCTCAGACCTCTTCTCTAAGGAGATAATTAGGCAGCGTTCACCCTCCAGGTTGAACACGGCAGCCCGACAGGCATCCAGATGCCTGAGGATCTACACTGCTGGCAGGTCGTGGCGGAGGTATTTTCGGTACGCCCAAGCAAACGCCGTCTATGGAAAAGAGCACTTAATGATACGGGTAACTGCACACATGCTTTGTTAGTGATGGAAGCAGGAGACAAACTTAAGAGAGCCAACTTTGTCAGTGGTGCACAGGTGAGAGACGCGGGACACCAAACACTGCCCATAATTTGCCTGAAGGCGAGAACAGCCGTGGCCTCTCGGTGTTTGCACTGTGATTTCTTAAAAATCCTTTGAGGACTGTGCCAGTTTAGTAAAACGAATATGCCTGGCTTTAATAATCACCAAAGAAAGGGAAAGGGTCATAGTTGGCTTCGGGGCAATTAAGGTTGCCCTAATATGACTGCTTTGGGGGAGCCTTCTCTGCGGAGTTAACCCATTAGAATCAAAGCAATAAGCAGGACGTACTATGCAGGTGGAATCACTCACCCAGTACTCAAACAGGGGACGGGGGTGACTCACAGGCCCCGGGGTCCACAGCCCCTTGCTAATCTTTTGAGAGCTGAACTGCAGATGCCGTTAATACTCAAAAGCTGTTCGTGTTTGTTTGTTTTTTCCAGGCTAACAGACTCAACGGTTTGACGGGAAGAAAGCATTTTGTATCGCAGCCCTCTCCCATTCTCTTTCAACCCCAGAGCTACTGCGGGGTTGTTTCCACAATAAAGCAAGCCACGTGGATTTTTCGGTTCCCGGGGACATAGGAACGCTGTGTTTAGGCTATCCCATAATCTATTACGTGCGCATGAACATTACAAAAAAGTCCAAGACAGTGGTTGTCAAATTTCCTAATGCCACAACCCTTTAATACAGTTCCTCGTGTTGTGGTGACCCCCCAACCATAAAATTATTTTCATTGCTACATCATAAGTGTAATTTTGCTACTGTTATGAATTGGGCGATCTCTGTAAAAGGGTCATTCCACCCCCCAAAGGGGTCACGACCCACAGGTTGAGAACCACTGGTCTGAAACGTCTTAAGAATGAACAAAGTGTGATTCAGCAACCTGATGGGAGAACATGCTATTGGCAAGACGGCGACGATACACTTGCTAGATACTGGGTTGCTACAAACACCTTTATTAAAAACCAAAACACTAGTAGCACAAGTTAAAAAAGCACAATAAACACACACACACACACACACACACACACACACACACAAACATACACATCTCCCAGCAGCAGAGGGAAGGTTCCAGAAACATCAGCCCTGGCCATCTCTCAGGAACTGGACCAGGCCTGACTGGAACCCAGCTCTTGGGCACAGTTCCCAACCCTCCCATGGACCCAATGCCCCAACACCCGGGCATTTTATGTGATTCCTTGACTGGCGCTCGGCTAGACCCAGCCCCGTGCTCCTGGGCCACACATCTGGCCTCTGGAGACCAGAGTGAGAGAGGGTCCTGCCACTCGTGGGCCATGAGCCCCCACCACGGCTCATCATCCTCTTGCATGTTCTTGACTGGGTCACCTTGGGCCACCCTGGAGGCCTCGTCCACCCTCTACCGTAGGGCCCCTGCACATGTCCCCTCTGCCTGGGCCTTCATCCAGAGGCTTCCTGACTCCTTAGATCTCAGCCCTCCGGCCCCTCTGGCCCCACATTCCAAGCGGTGGGTGATGCCTGTGGCAGCACTGTGGTGGCCAGGGCACCAACTCCAGGTTCCCTCCTGGATCTGCCTCCTCTTCCTAGCTGTGTGGCTTTGGGCAAGTTCCTGAACCTCTCTGCGGCTCGGTTTCCCCAACCACAAACTGGAAGCGGCCTCGGCGGGCTTTGTGAGGAGAAACGGACGGCTGCCTGTGCCGTGTCCACAGCACAGGCCTGCAGCGCTTCGGAGAGCCTGCACCCACGCAGCCCGTGGGCCAGGGCAGGGACCCTTTCCGCTCCATAAGCCTTTCCCATGAATCAATACAGGCCGATGCTGCAATCGGTCAGAAGGCACTTTAGAGCTTCTCTGGTACCTGCTTACCGTCTGTGAGCCACCTGGACGGTGTGCCTCCTAACGCCGACACCTGCCCAGCCAGGGACCCTCCACGCCCGCCTCCCCCATCGCCCCTGCTGGTCTGGGAGTCAGAGGTCACTGGCCATCTCTGGGTTTTGGCTTCCTCTCCTCTAAAGTGAGGCCATCCAGGCCCCGAGGCAGGGGCGACCAGAGCTCACGACGACACCCTTTCAAAGGCGAGTGAATCATTAGTGTTTCTCGAGAGAGGGTGCAGCTTGACAATGCCTGGAACCCTGCGGACGGACTCACTGTGTGGGGCTCACCCACGGCCTGGACACGGGGAAGATAATGCTGCTGCTGATGATGATGATGACGGCGGAGACCACGGCCACATCCAAACAGACCGCCCCACCCCACCTCACCTCTGCTGTGGGGCTGGGAGGAGCTCCCCGACACGGCAGGTGGGAAGCCGTCAGATCAGGTCAAGTCCTGCTCCACCGTCCACCCACGGTGTCCCCTGCCTGCCCCGTGCTTCCTACCAGCCAGACAGGGGACAGGAGGCCAGGCTGGGCCGTGGCATGTGGGTGATCAATGCTGCATAAGTGTTTATTTGTTTCTGGCACTAGAGGACGGTGCCATATTTCTATGCATAATCCGACACTAGATAAAAGGAACCTTAAAACCGGTCACACTCTCTGACACACCCTTATACTCGCCTCGCACACACAGCTTGGGGTGGGGGGTAGGCGGCGAGAAACTGGCAGAGATGGCTGGATGTCCGTTATGGGGTTATCACGGGCAACATCCCAGTTGGGACACCATATACAACCAGGGGCAGCAGCTGGGCAGAGGGGCTGGGGCAGCAGATTGGCCGTGGCGTATTCTACACCGCTGCTGGGGTGGCCGTGGATGTCCACTCTCTGAGCAGGATACGGAGGGGGAACGTCAAGAGCATGTACACTCCTGCTTGTACAATGCCCAGTCACCTTTAGGTAGTGGGGCACGGGAAGTGGAGGGTGCAGGGGGCTACTAGTCTGTCTTTAAAGCTGATGAAGCAGCTGGAATATCAGCCAGATGGGAGATGTGGGGCTATTGGCCAAAACCACAGAGACAGCTGCCCTACTTGCCACATGCCTGCACTGCCCCTCGGCCTACAGACGAGGCAGGGAGGCTCAGAGGCTGTGACCTGCCCCAGGTAACACAATGAATTCCCTGGCCTCCTGATCCCAGAGCCCACCTTAGCCCAGGCGCTGGGGAGGGCAGAACCCAGTCCTCAGGGCTTCCTGAAGCATTTCTGTGGAGAAACAACCTAATGGGAAGAGAGGTCTGAAGTAGAACAGACCACTCCGGGGGAGTGAGTGCCGGCCAAGGGCCGGCCAACTAACGACGCCAGAGGAGATGACCTCGACCACCTCCGAGGGCCGGGGTCTCAGCTGTTTGAACCAGACCCAAATAAAAAAAATTTTTAAAGGATGGGACTGCTACCTTGCCTGCGTTCAGTTCCGAAATCGCTGCCAGAATCTGCTGCCGGGACCCATCCGTCTTGATGCCCAGCTCCTTCAAGTCGCCGTCGGTGAGCGTGAGGAAGGCTTCCATGTCCACCTGGGAGGAGAGAGGCGCGGTTTGCTGACCTCCGCTGGTGCCACACCTCCCCGCCACCCTCAGCAGCAGAAATGCCACAAGTGCCCAGAAAGAAAGGCCACCATCTACCTTCCCCAAGCCACCGGCTTGCAAGCCCTCCGGAGTGTGTGTGGTTCTACCCTGCCCACGTAGGGCCACGGTGATCTGCATGGTGGTGAAAGGAAACCCACGTCCTGCTGTAACCAAGCTGACACCAGTCACTGCCACCACGCAGAGGAAGGTGCGTCCCTGCGGTACTCACCGTGCCTCCCCCACAGAGAATGAGAGAGACGCAGACTGTGGGGAGAGAGAGAGAGAACACGAGGGAGTGAAAGGCAGAAGCAACAGAGGCCAGAAGCACGGAGGGGGCAGGGGCTCTGCACTCACAGCCCTCCCATCCCTGGGCTCCCCCATCAGGACCACTGCTCTCAAAGAGGGCCAGAGCTCCCTGCGGCCACACCTCTGCCCTCCAAGCCAGCATGGAGGAAGGGTGTGTGTGGCACGGGCACCTGTGAGCCTGGGCACGGGCCGGCTCAGTCTCGGGCACAGTCCAAGCTCACCCCCCGACCCCCCCAGAGAGCCAGTTCCACCGGTGGCTAAGGAGGGGGCCTAAGCACACAGGCAAGCCTCGCTGTGTGCACATCATCGTCCAAGCGCATCACACAGACCCAGCCATTTCATCGTCACGTTACCACCCCCTTCCAGGGACGGGGCAGCAGGGCAGAGATGTTTTTCTTAGGCGCTCAAACCATCACATGACTATTAGGTGGCAGAGCAGGGATTTGAACCCAGGCTGTGGGCTCCAGACACCCTGCTCTCATCCACAGCGCCACATCACCTTGCAGTGATCCAGCAGTGTCTCTCGTGAGTGTCCCCTGAGGGAAGTGGCCGTCACATTAAGGTGTCAGGATGATCCCCCAAGTATGATGGGACTCAAGCACCTGGTGGGGCCGGGCTGGCCCCCCGCCCCACACTCAGAAGTTGTCCTTAGAGACAATGCTACAGCCTCACAGGCAAGACTCCGACAGCAGGTGCAAGAGGGCGCAGAGGTGCACAGCAGGTGCAGCGGGCCGCCATCAGCGGGCAGGGGGGTTTCTTGGTAGAGAGGAAGATGCCAGTGGAATGTAAGTGCCAAGGAGGCAGGGGCCCAGACGGGCATCGACAGAGATGAAAACTGATGAGGGAAGTGTCCACTGCGTCTTGAGTCTGTTTCCTGAACACAAACACCCGCTCCTCAGCTGGACCCCAAGCGTGACCGACCGGACACATTGTGCTGTCTGCCCTGGACTGGAGGCCGTCTTGCACCTGTACTTGGGTCCCACGGGCCTGTGGGGGCGCTTCCTTCGTCCAAGACGGTGACGTTCATGACTGTTTTCCTGAGGTAGTGCTCAGACCCCACTCGGCTCACCCGTAGAAGTGGTTAATCCAACCGGGCTCTGTATGCATACCGGGCTGTGTGGCCCTCAGCACAAGCAATAAGAACCACCTTCCCCATTCAACAGGCATCCCTATCCCACCTTCCCCCCCAAGCCTGGGAAACCGACTGCTCCTCTCGGTCTCTGCAGAGCTGCTGGGCCTGGGCCGTCTGTGCACGTGAAGTCACAGGTGACCTTCTGAGGTCAGCTTGGCTCACGGGCATCCGGTGATGCTCTCAAGGCTCAGCCCTGTGGTGGCAGCAAGTGCCTGCACTTTGTTCCTTCGATGGCTGACTGTGCTGGCGTACCTTAACCTTATTTTCGAATCCACTCGCCAGTGGGTGGGCACACGTGGCCTGTCTCTGCCCTCTGGAGGCGCTGCCCGATGCTGCAGTGAATGCTGTGTACAAACTGGTACTTGTGTGGACACAGGTAGAGAAGTACCCAAGTACGGAACTGCTGGCCCACAGAGGAAATTCATATTCGGAGGGACTACTAGACTTTTTAAGGATTTAAGATGTGCCGTGACATGTGGTTATGAACTCAGGTACTCTCTCAGGCAGACATGCAGCCCCATATCTCCAGGCATCTAAGGTAAAACCTTCAAAATCTGCTTTTGGCCGGGCCTTCCAAGTCAATTATTGTCAACAAAACCGCTCGCAAGACAGATAAACTTAACTGGAGAAAGTGGTGTTCTGAGCTACATAATTCCATTCAGGGAAAACACGCCGTGGGGTGCCCAGGATTGCTGTGGACTGCTGAGTGCACACCCCAACTCCTGGGCTGGCTCTGAGACACGGAACCAGTGAGGCTTGCAGAACAAACACCCACATGTTTAGACGAATTGATTTCGTGGGGAGGGAGGGGGTTGTGCTTTTTGCAATGAGATCTAAACTGATATTCAGACAAAAGGAACATCCTTACCTCTTGCTCCTCAAAAATGGGCTGGTATTTCTCAAGGGATAATTTCTTAAGGATTCCAGTCAGCTCATCTGAGAGAGAGAGAGAGAGAACACAAACACATTTTAGGAACCCTGTACAATGCAGCTGAAGAAGAGGCTTCAAACCCACGTACAGAGTAGCAGTGGTCTTGTTTCAAACTGAGTCCTATGAGGAACCGACCCAGCAAGCAGATTTAAGCAAGCTCCAGTGAGGAAGGTGGAGGTGTGCCCTGAGCCACCTGCCAGCCACTCCTCTCTGCCCGCACCCTTGGTGTCTCCCCAAACCCCAAGCCAGGCTGCAAGGTGGGGTGGTGGGCACAGCCAGGCTGACCCCCAAGTGGGGAAATTGCCAAGTTCTCCGAATGGATTCCAGCCACAAGGACAAACATTCTGCCTTCCTCTAAGGTCTTTAAACAATTTCCTGACTGCGGATTTCTCAACTAGTGCTGGCCGGCCTTCGGCTCCCCAGAGAAAGAACTCAACCGGCAGGCAGGCCCCAGAGCAGTCAGCTGTCTGGTCAAGTGTGTGGAAGCTGTGGGCCGCCCCAGGAGGGGCACACCAACAGGGAGCGGGCAGAAGCTGGTCTAGGTACCAACATACCAGAGCTCAGCTTTCAGCCCAATAAGAGACGGGCCTCCAAGGGGAACAGGAACACCAGGGGGGATGCACTCTCAGACTAACCAGCCTCAGGGCAGCATCTGCCCGGGGGAAGGCTCGGAAGGCAGGAGGGCAGGTGGAAGTGGAAGCTCCGTGGGGAGAGTGTGTTGAGGAATGAATGTCACGAGGGATGAACGGGTGTGGACCGTTCAATGGAAAACCACCTCGCTCTGTACCCTTTCACTCCTTTCACCCAAACCACAGTCAAGACCCACATCGGGGCGGGGAGAGGGCTGGAGGGCATCGCTCATTTGCAGTCAACAGGGATTTCCCGGAGCAGGTCCTAGGGATTCAGCAGGGGCAGAAGCAGTGCCCTGGTGCTGGGTCCAGGCAGAGGAGGGAGGAGCAGGGCAGCTCGGGGTGTTTGACAGAGGGCAGTAAGGTGGCACAGAATCAGGAAGCAGACGTGTGGGAGCCACGCACACGTCTTGGGAAGGGCCCCACAGGCCGTGGAACAGCCAGTGCAGAGGCCCTGAGGCAGGAGGGCTGGTGGTTAGGAGGCCTGCTTTCTTCCTGGTGCTTGTCCATTTGCTCATTCACTCAGCAGTGACGACAACAGAGCCTGATGCATGCCGGGGATCGCCCAGCAGGAAAGGTCCTCACCGGGAAGGTGTGCGGCGTGGCCGGGAAGACCGATCACCAGGGAGAAGCTGTTGGCCGGTGCTCACCACCAGGCACGCTGTGCGTTCAACCACAGCCTGAGGCAGGCCCCACTCCTGCCCCCACTCACAGGAGGGCAGTCAGCCACGGAAGGGGCAGGTACCACGTCTAGAGTGAGACCGTAGCACTTGTCCATGGCGGCTCTTGGGTCTGCCCCTCATCAGTGTGGCGTGCTGCCGTGGAAGGACAGCGCGGGCAGTGGCCTGGCTACGGGTCTCGGGAAGGCTTCAGGGGAAAGCTACGGCTACTGAGCTAGGACGGGTGAAACAAACAGGGTTCTCATGCCCACAAAAGGCACTGCATGTTCACGATGCCAAGCCTCTGCTCCTGCTTCCCCCCGGGCACAGTGCTCCCTCCACAGCCTTTACCCAGTCTTCCCTGCACGCCTCCCGGTCCACAAGTCTACTGTAAAATGTACCAGCGCCGAGCACACGACTTTCAAATCCTAATAAACTATATAATATTCTTTATCGTAAACCCGTTTAGCCAATTGATCCGCACAGAAGGCTTTCATTGATTTTTGCCCAACTCTTGTGTCCACAGCTAATGAGAGGCGTTCCCGACATGAACCCTGGCTGATGATTCCTGCGGATGTGAGCACACATGCCTTGGCGCCGTGTGGGCAGCCATGCCAGGTCAGATGATGGATTTCACACACCGCGAGACTGCGCATCCTCCACAGTTTGTGCCGTTCCGTGGAGTGGCTACAGACGTGTCAACACATTTAAGTGACTGAATGATTAGCATTTTCTCCATCCCTTGCCGGGGTCTAGGCAATCTCCCAAACAATACATCAGGCCTGGGTTGGAGGCAGCTGCTGATTGCCGTGGTGTAAACATCCCAATCATCACCAATTTCAAACTGCTCCGGGATGGCTGAGTCAGGTGACGTGTGCAGTAGAAGCAATGCATCTGCTAGTACCCCAACTACACAGATGTAAGAGATAATAGTCATATGCTGTAAAAAAAAAGGAAGTCTTTTCCTTTTTACAATAAAGAATATAGTCTATGTTTCCCAGTATTACTTCCCCGTGAAAGCTCACACATTTTTATTTTGAACAATGGCTATGCTTACTAGCTGGTCTCTCGTGGGCCACCGCATGGAATGGCTGGGGCCCCTCTGAAAGCCTCCACCTCTGTCCTGAGCTCCATCCCATGGTCCTTCCTCCTCACCCCCCAGGAGCAGCTCCCTCTGGGCAGTTAAGTCCTCAGGTGTGCTGGACATCGCTTGCCCTGTCCTCCCCCCCTGCTCCCTCTGGAAACAGCACCTAGCCCTTGCTTCTAGGAGCCACTTCTCGCACGCTCATGGTCCGGTTCGGGAGGGCAGGCCAGTGCCAAAGGCAGACAGGTGGTGACTCCACACTGGCCAACGAGCATGGTGAGTGATATGCCACTATCTCAAGGCCTTACAGAGACCGGCGAGCTGGTCTTGACCATCAAGGTGTTTTGAGAAACCACTCTTCCTGCTGGACTTGCTAATGAGTTAACAGGAAGAGAAGGTAAGCGTGAAGCTGCAGAGCCTACCTGACAAATGGAGGGAAACAGTCCCGCAGCACCTGGACCCACCCATGCCTGAAGCCCACCTCAGACACTGCCAAGATAGAAAAACAAACAACCCACTACCATCGAGTCAATTCTAACTCATGCCGACCTTACACAACAGGGTGGTGCTGACACTGTGGGTTTCCAAGACTGTAATTCTTTACGGAGTAAAAGGCCTTGTCTTTCCCTTGGCAGAGGGGCTGGTGGTTTGGAATGAGTTAGCAGCCTGGCGCATGACCAACCACTCGTTTGCTTAAGTCGGCCGGAGTGAAGAGCTCATTGCTTGCAGCTAATTTGTACAAGGTTCAGGGGCAGGTATGTACCTGGGTGTCAGGAAGCATTTCCACAGGTGTTCCGTTTGTGCAAAGGTGCCCTGGTGGCACAGCAGGTTAAGCTAACGGCAAGGTGCAAACCCGCCAGCCACTCGGGGAGGAAGAGGAAGCCGTCTGCTCCTAACACATGACCCACTTGGAGCCCCCGGAGAGCGCTTCCACCCTGTCCCACGGGGTTGTTCTGGGTCAAGATGGGCACAGCGGGTGGTGGGTTTGTATGTCTGTGCCCAGAAACTCAGCTGCAAGCAAAAAGCACTTGGGAGTACTTCGCTGAAGAAGGCTCCCTCCTTCAGCACAATGAAGGCAACATGCAAGGGGGGAGCAGGGAGGGGAGAGTTTGTGTAAACTGAACAGCTGGAGAGGATGGGTCCCTCCCTAGCCGCCTGGTGAAGAGAGGGCTGGGGGGTGCACGGGCCCGGCCCGGGAGACTCACCCTCGTCCGTGATGGTGCCGCTGCTCGAGCCTCCGCTGCTCTTGGACTGCCGGTGGGAGGAGGACGAGGACACAGAGGACTCGGCGGTGTGGCCTTTGGGTGAAGGGGAGGGGGTCAGGGTGGGGGAGGTGCTTTTGGAGGTGGCTGACGCACCCGACCGCGGCCTCTGGCTTGTCTCTGGCTTCTGCGGAAGAGAGGTTCGTGAACAGTGACCGTTTGTAAGCAACCACCCCACATGGGGAACATGAGGTGGCCACGGAGAGCTGATGCCCCTGGCATGCCCATGTGAGCCTCCAGAGACCCAGGGGAGATGCTGATGCCGGCTGTGACCCACCCAGGTGTCCCCGCCAGGCTCAGTTCTAGTGCTAACTGTGGGCACGGGCCGGAGTCCATGCCTTGTGAATGCATCACCATCGCAGTGAATTTGCCTGTTTTGAGCAAAGAGCAAAAGCCACATTCGGGGAGAGGCTCATGCTTGGAAGACGACGTTCCAGTTCTTCCAAAGGGAGTCTTTGAACGGTGCTCCTCATCTCCATTGTGTTGCTGGGTTCTCCGACAGAAACCCCCTTCTGTGTCCTTTAAGTAAGGACAGTGGTTCCTGAGAGCCCTGGGCTGGACTGGCTGCAACAGTCTCTTTGGGAAAAAAAGACAAGATTCCCAGGCCCTACCCTCTGAGTCTAATTCTGCAGGGCCGGGGTGAAGTCCAGTAACCTGAATTTTTAAACAGCTCGCCAAGGTTACAGCATCATTATTATAGTATCACGATGACAGTAAGAGTCTCAGGTAATCGTTGAAATGGATCATTTCCCCTGCTTATTGTTTCCTGAATGCACCTTTTGACAAAGTCAATTTCCTTTCATCGGAATAGACTTGTATAGAGTCTACATGACAGATGTGTCCAAGCAAGGTTAAGAGCTCATACAATTTATAACTTAGATTTAGCCTACCTATCTCCAACATGGATTAAAGGGCGCTAAGTACATCTAACATATATAAAGTCATCAACACAGAAACAAGAACTTTTAGGCAGCTTTGATATTAAGCAACTCTGTCAAAGTCCCAGATTAGCAGACTGACTTTAATAAATGGCCCTGAGCTTCCCAGTAGCAGTGGCAAAAAACAAACAAACAAACAAATACAACCAGTTCTATATGACTTAATGTCCAACAGATGACAATATCAGGGAGACAGGTTTTTCCTAGAGCTGAATTCTGAACACAGCTTAATTCAAAATTCAAACTCACTGGTATCAACTCAGCTCCAACTCACAGGGACCCTGGAGGACTGAAATGAACTGCACCGGGGGGTTTCCAAGGATGTGAATCTTTTCAGGAACAGAAAGCCTTCTCCTTCCCCCGTAGAACAGCTGGTGGATTTGAACTACTGATCTTGTGGTTAGCAGCCCAACACAGAATCCACTAGGCCGCCAAGGCTCCTCAGAAGCTTAGTGGCATAGCCCCATTGTCCAAACAACGTCTCTGTGGAGACTAAGATTCGCCTGACCTAGCCATGGTCTTTCCGGTCACCTCGTTGGCCGGTGAAAAGGAGACCACAGAGCCATGGAGCTTTTGAATTACAGCGCAGGCGAGGGATACTGACAAGGCCAGGGACTGTCTGGAAGACAAATAAGTCTGTTTGGGGACAAGCACAGCCACAATGTTCCTTATTAGGATGAATGGTGAGACTGGACATGGCATCAGAAGAGACCAGTCCCTGGAGAAGGACATCTGTGGTAGATATATAATCATTTGTCAATTAGAGGATTCAGAGTGTAGGGGTGGAGTCTAGCTTGTCAATCAGATCATAGCCAATGAGGCCTCTGTGTGGGCATGGCCTTCTCCTGAGAATTCTGGGAAATATGGTACTTCCTCCTTGGATAAGGTGACTGGAGTTTAACATTGGTAAAGCGGGACACCATTGATAAAACTCATTTCCTGGCGAAATAGCCACATGGCAGCCAAAAACCGTATACCCTAGACCCTAGCTTGTTGTGCATTCTTTCCAAAAATTGGAACTTTTTAAAAATGCCACAGGATGTGGGAAAAATTGTTAAAAATTGGGACTGTCCCACCAAAAGCGGATGTCTGGTCACCTTATCCTTGGAGATGGGAGACTCTGCTCCCACCTTGGGAGACCTAGCACATGACAAGACACATGGACCCACCCTGATGCAGAGACCCCTGCCAGCGCTGAGATGTTTCCAATGATACTGGATTCAAAGACTTTCTAGCCACTGGCCTGTGATCTTCTACATTTGGTGTCACTGCGTGTGTTTCGTGAGTCTGAAGAGGACGTATAGACTGGTATCAGACATACGGGCCAATATTGGACTTATGGACTTGACCTGGACAGGGCTGGGATGTTTTCTCAATGTTCAATTGCTCTTGTATATAACTCTCTTTCTTATATACATACGTGTGTCCATGGATTTGTTTCTCTAGTCCACCCAGACTAACACAACATCATACTTGGTCAAGGGGAAGGGAGCAGGAGAAACAGGAAGCCCCCCTGAGATGGACTGACACTACGATGCAACAATGGGCTCAAACAGAAGAACAATGGTGAGGTGATACGGGACCGGGCGGTGTTCCCTTGGGTGGCATGCAGGGCCCCCACGAGTGAGAAGGGATACACAGTGCCTGACGACAACAACGTAATCCAAGTAATTCTGAACAGGGCACTAATGTGTATGGAGAGGGGGATTTTTTGGAGCTAAGTATAAAAAATAACTAACAAGAAAACCCCAAACCCGTACTCATAGCACCCCTATGTAGAGTCCCCAAGGCTGTACATCTTCTCTGACCAGAGCAGACAGCCTCATCTTTCTCCCAGGAAGTGGACTGTGGGTTTGAACCACCGACCTTGTAGTGATAAGAGTCCACTGCTGAAGCGAGTCTCTAGGACAGAGGAGAACTGCCCCCATGGGGTTTCCATAGCTACACATCTTCATAGAAGCAGACAGCCACACCTTTCTCCCACAGAGTGGTTGGTGGAGTTGAACTGCCCACCTTTTGGCTGACAAGCAACATTTAACTGTTGTAGCACCAAATCATGTGGGCCTTACTGCAGAAGGGCCTTTGAATGCTGCAAAGGATCATGGACTGTCCAACAGTGGTTGGACAGAAATTAAAAATTAAAAAAAAAATTCTTCATTCACTGACTCAAACATCAATTTTTGGAAGACCTTCTTGTGGGCAGGGTCCCACCAAAGGATGGGCTGTCTGGGGACCTAACACCCCAGGGCGACGGGTTAGGACACCTAGACAAACTGCCGCCGCCGGTGAGGTCCTGCCTGCACTGGGGGTCCTCTGGGAGGAAGAAATGAGTGACTCGGCATCGCTGGGGGGTACCTGGTGGTGGGGACCATGAAGCTGTCTCATGTGCCCTGCTAGGCATCCACAATCTGGGCTCACCGAGCAGAGCATTAGCCCATGAAGAGGGAGAGGCTCAGGAGGTGGAGCGGACAGATCCCCAAATGCCAGCTCAGAGCATCACCTGCAAACTCCGAGAGTTACCAGAGAGCTGACTGCAAGACAACCACAGCTGCAGCCATGGGGACGTGGCGTCCAGATGATGCTGGCAGTGGTCCTTAGCTCGCACTCACACAGGGCCATCGGGTTTTGCCCGCCCAGAGACCCTCCTTCTACTCCCCCAGTGCCACGCTTTCCTCTGGGGCTTAGTACTGCTGTTCCCCCACCCAGGGCCACTCTTATGGCCCCTACCCCCAGCCCCCTCATCTGAGTCCAGATCCACGAGGTGGAGGAAAGGAGTCCTCCCAACGCCCAGGTGGCCGCTGGAAGGAGTCTGCTTTGAACCCCGTCCTACCAGCTGTGCCCCCACCCACGTCCCAGCAGCTCAGGGCCGGGCCAGGAAGGGATGTGAGTGTAACTGAACTAGAGGCACAGAGCCTCACCTTGCTGCCGGACATGCTGGCCCCTCCCGGGGAGCCTGGAAGCTCTGATGGGCTAGACGCCGGCGCTGGCCCCACAGGGCTGGACGGCTGGCTGGGCTTCTGCTCCGAGAGTCCGGCTGCCTTCTTCCTCTGGGCAGCGATTTGGGACAAGACACTATCCACGCTGCCGCCTGAGAAAACAGAAATGAGAATGGCAGCAGTGGTGGGGGCGCAAAGCTGGGCACCCCTTCCCATGTGCCTCTAGGCCAGGGCTGACCTCGGGAAAGTCTGCATGAGATCTGGAAGGGAGAGGAAATCGGCGGCCACCACGCTCTGAAGGGTGTCCTGTAAGGCCACCGCCTGGTCAGGTAAAGCCCACAGCCACTGAGGTTGACCCCAACTCCTTGCAGCTGCAGGGTGGCACTGTGGGTGTCCAAGACCAAGTCACTGCAGGACAGAAAGCCTGTCCATCTCTTGTGGAGGAGCTGGGGTGGGGGGTGGGGGTGTTCCCCCACCAACCTCAGGGTTAGCAGTCTAACGAGTAAGGCACAGCCCAGGGCTCCGGACCCGTCTTCACCTGGCCCTGTGTAAGGTCCAGGGCCTCTTCCAGCTCCCAGCCCTGCTGGCTGAGTGACCCCAGTTCTGCAGAACATGGAGATAGCGCCCTTTGCCCCCAACACACAGGCTGCTTAGCGACCACCCCTCACCTCTGATGCCCTCCCTGATTGTGTGAAGTCCGGTCCTGTGGGAAATTCCTCACGCCAGAACACTGCGCGTGGAGAGTGGGTCTGCCTCCCTGGCTGGAAGTTCCTCTCTGCTGCCCCACATTGAGCTGCAGCCCAGGGATGTGGTGAGAGAAGCGGGCAAGGGGAGACCCCCGAGCTGGGAGGGTGCTCGTGAGCCGGCCCTCATCTCTCACCTGGGTACAGCACAGAGGGCCCTGTACCCGGCAGTCCTGAAAGAGTTTTATAGGTGGAAATAGACAGAGCTGCCTGGGCAACAAAAGTGTATCAAAGGCTTCAGAAATAGGCAAACCTACTGCCCCAGCCACCCCAGAATTTGTGTTCAGGAAATCACGTGGCAAGTAGGCAGGTTTGTTCGGACAAGGGTGCTGCCCTCTCTGTAAGAGCAAATGCCTAGAAACGGCCTCGGGGGTCAACGCCGGGGCACCAGCTAAGCCACCAGCAAGATCGCATGCCAAGGGAGGCCGTCCAGGCACTAGTGGATATTCCAGATATCCATGCACCATGGGGCCAATGCACTCATGATGTGGGCAGGGGCAAGTTTCAAAACATTCCGTGCCCCAGTCAAGCACGGGTTCAGGGAACTGGCTCTGGAGTCGGGCCGTCTGAGCCTGGGTCCTGGTTCTGCCTGGTGTGACGCTGGGCGGGCCGGCCAGCTGTCTATGAGCCCCGCTCCCTCACCTGCAGCACTGAGAGGAGAGCCTTCCAGGCTGCTGGGGAACTGAATGAGATCACCCATAGGCGGGTCCTGGCACCACGCCGGGCATGTACTCAGAGCTCAGTGCATTATCATTTTGCTTCTATAAATATTGATAATATGCACAGAAAGACTGGAAGAGACATCAATGATGATCCCTAATGGGTAAGATTTTTTTCTCTCTTTTTTTGAGGGGGAGTTGAGGGTGGGATGGGGGCCTTCTTATTTCTCTGGGCTCTCAGGTTAATCCTGGACAACCTCAGGGGGATCCAAAAACATGCTGTAAGGTGAAATAATGATGGGGAACAAGTGGGAGAGTCTTGTCACCAGCTAGCTGTGTGACCCTGGGCACATCACTGGCCCTCTCTGGGCTGCAGTTTGCTGTCTGTTCCATGCAAGGGCTGGATGCACAGCTCTCTCAAGGTCTCACCTCCTAGGATTTTAGACACTGTAAGGATACCAAGCCTTTCTGGGGAAGTTTTACAAGAAAACAAAGCCTGTGGATGCTTATTTCCTCCCTCCCAATCATCCTCCTGCAAAGAAAAGGCTTAGAGGCCCGAGGAGTGATGTCGCTAAGGGCAGATCCCCGAGGGGCCTCCCACCCAGAAACCCACCTGAGCGGCTATGCAGTTCCCCACCATGCCTGCTAGCACCCCCGGCGCCACTGGAGCCACCAGAGGAATGAGGCGAGTGGTTGAAGTTTCCAGAACTGGCGGGAGACGCTGGGCTCCTCAAGAGGGTTGGGAACTTCACCGGCCTGGTGGAAGCCTGCAAGGGTGAAGTGGGTGACACTGTCAGGTTCTGCCTTGGCCGGCTCCAGATGCCGCTTCACCGTGTGGAGAGACGCTGGAGTTCTGCTGGCCCAAACCCCTACTGCCCCCCACAGCACAGTCTGACCAGCCAGTGCTCAGCCTGTCCAAGGTCACTACGGGGTGGTGCCCCTGTCCATCTGCTGACAGCCCTGCCTGTAGACAGTTCTCAAGATGAGCCCCCTGGACAGTACCGTCTCCCCACCCGAGGTGCCCCTGTGCCCAGCCTCACCCAACTCATAGCGACCCTACACGACAGGGTAGCACTGCCCACACTTCCACATCTTTCTCCTGCAGTGACTGGTGGGCTCAAACCAATGACCTCTTGGTCAGCAGCTGAGCACTTAATTACTGAACCAACTCGAGTTCCAAGAAAACCTGCCCCCATAATGCCCTGTAAAACCTCAAAGGGCCCCCATCACAACCAGAGCAAAACCCAGCCCTGCCTCCACAATACTGCTCCCACGGCCTGGATGTGCCTCTCCTGTCCTCCCCAGCCTGGCTCCAGGTCACCACCTCAGGAAGCCTACCCCAGCACGGTCCCTCGTGGCCAGCGCTCCAGGTCACATGCCCCCCCTCTGGTCCAGCCTCCCGCTGCTGCAGCCACGCCAAGCCTCCCGGGTACTAAGAGCATGTTGCCAACTACCTACCGTGTCTGAGCTCCCACCTCCGCCCGTGGCGTGGCCCCTGCTGGCTCTGTGGGGCAGCACCGTCTTTGTGGGGTCTGCCTTCCCGTTGCGACACGTCTGGGACCGATCGGAGCTCCACAGCTCAAAACTGGACGGGGGCAGGAAAGGGGGGATGACTGCCTTCAGCTGGTCGCTCGGGAGTCTGGTGAAGGGGGCTCCGTTTCGAAGCTGAAAAAGACAGGCCTTGCGTTAGGCAGAGCCCAGGAGGGCTCCGGGTCTGCAGGAGACTCCTATCTCCCAGCTTCTCTGAGGACGCCCGCTGCCACCCACCCCTACACCGGAGCCAGAAGCCACAAGGGGTCCTGAGCTCTATGTGCAGGCTGGCTCTGCTCCAGCAGTGGGGCAGAGCAGGGGTGTGGCTGGAGAGCTGCGGGGAGCAGGGCAGGGAGCTCAGGAGGCTGGGAGGACACCGAGGAACATCCCAGCTGGGCCCAAAGCACACTGCTGGCCGGACCCATGAGAACGGAGCGAGCACTTTGGGTGAGAGGTGGAAAGGCCTGAGACCAGAGGCAGAAGCACAAGGTGGTAGGCGTGACCCGAGCTGGGTGGGGCTGGTTCAGGAGGAAGGGTCGAGGGGTTGGTGGCCAGGCTCCCACAGGCTCCTAAGCCCCACCTTGCACGGCGGGCAGATGTTCTTCCGTCATTTCACTGTGTGCAAAATGTGATTTGGGGTCGTGCGACACCACCCTCCACCCCCACCACCCATGGCGATGAGTACACAGGGTCAAGGGAAAGCCTTCAGTCCGTAGGAGCTTTAATTAAGAAATGACCATGAACTCGGGGCCAGATGGAGCTTTGCGGGGAAGGGTGTCCCACAGCGAAGCCCGCCTCAGGAGCCAGGCAGGTGGGCAGCTCTGCCCTATGGCTGCAAAGGCCCACTCAGCCGGGTGCCCAACCTTCCATCTGCCATAGGCAGCCAGACCGGTGCACTGGTGCCCTCTACGGGGCACAAGGAGTCAGGACAGGAGCACCGTCCTGCAGGTCCATCAATGAGGGGCCGCCCCTCTCAGCGGCTGCACCTGGCAAATGTGGGGAAGCCTGGGAGATGGCCAGGGAACTGGGGGCGTTTTCATTAGAGGCTGAATCACTGTTTATGGCACTCATTCCCTTGACCCAAGGGCTCCACGCCTAGGCGGCTGTTCCGAGGAGACCATTAGGCAAGTAGGGGATGCTGAAGCTAAAACCGTTTAAAAAAACCCAATAACCTAGAAACCCCAAAGTCCAACAGGGCACAGCCACCCCCATCTCGTGCAGCCACAGAAGTATGGCAAGGCTGAAGAGCGTTTGGGGTTGACACACTGGGCCCCTGCCTGCAGAGAACTGCTCCTCGGGCAGACTGTCACAGCTGTGACCTTGGGGAAGCAGGTCGCCAGCGCTGTCTTCTGAGGTACCTGCAGGCCAGTTCAAACTGCAGGCCTCCCCCATCGGTCAGTGGGTCCGCAGGCTTGGTCCCACAATTTCTAGGTACAGAGCCCTGGTTCTTCCTCGGCCAGGCTCCCTTCCTGGCAGCTCCAAAGTGGGGTCTCCAGGCTGCGAGCACAGTCAGTCCATCTCCAACCAGGAGGCGCTCATTTCAGAACGTGAAGTGATGCCCAGGGAGGCCACCCAGAGAGCCTACATATTCTGCTGAGAACTTCCGAGGTGAGCCCATTGAATACCCTTGGCCACCCTGTGGGGGATCTTATGCCCAAGTCAGAGACTGCCAACTGGCCCCCCGCTGCCCTTCACCCACACCTCCCTTAGGACTGACACCCTGATTTCTAGACAAAGGCTTCATGCCCCAGCCTCCCATAGAGGGTTCTATGGCCTTGCGACCAACTGATAGACCCTGGGATAGAAGCAGATGCCTAGGTGGCAGTCTCTAGGAACTCCCTTGACAGAGAGCCAGCATGTGCGTGTGCCCACCTCTTCTCCCCAACCCTTGTCTGCTGCCTGGTCACAGAAGCCATGCATGGTGGACCCCAGACTAGGAGAAGCCAGGGTCCTAGGCCCCACAGAGCATAGTGCCGATCTTGAACTTGGTTTAGTTAGGAGAAATAAATGGCCCTCATATATGCCTGCTTGGGGGGTTTTCTGTCACTTCATCTCCAGGTGCCTCTGGAATGCAGACCGGGCAATGGTGGCCTCTCTCAGCCTGGATGCACACTCTCCGCTCTGATGCTTCCTCTCTGACTCTCCTTCCCCTCATCTCTGTCCCCAGAGCTGCCTGGCCTGTGGGGACCAGGACTTGCATGCGGTGCTCAGCGCAGCACAGGCTCACCCGCTGTTTCAGGGCATCTACCTGCTTGAGGTCCTTGGCGCTTGAGCTCTGCATGATGATACACATTTGGGACTGCCCCCGGCTGTGACCACTGAGATGGCCGGCCAGCCGAGCACCACGTCTCCCAGTAGATCGCCCCGCTAACAACCGGCTGGAGGGCTCGGAAAGTCCTACTCACCATGGTGGTCAATAGGGCGTCCTCCTTTCCTCCTCTTGGGCTCCCAGGACCTACGAGGCAAAGGCAAGTGTCCTGACATGACCACCCACGTGCCCATGGCCCGAGGACGGGGCGGCCCTTCCTCCTGGGAAACCAACTCCCCCGGATGATTAAATATTTACTAATCATTGGTATTCAATATTTTAACAGAGTGCAAATCCATCTCAGAGCATGTTTTGAGCGTTCCCGTGCACTGCTGATGCCCAGCTGAGTCAGACAGCGGGGCACCCTGCTCGATACCCTGTCTGCTGCAGCGGTGCCCCGGGAGCCGTGCGGGCAAGGAGAACCGGGCCTGCTGTTAGGGGGCCCGCACTGAAGCCACCTCTCAATCGAATTGGAGTCTCCTTCGGTGCTCTGGCAACCACCGCCCAGTCTGAACAACACCTCCAGTAAAGGAGCACTCATCACCCCTACCTAAGGGAACGGATGCTATTTTAAGACACGGCCAGTGACAGGGACCAATCTCATTTGGTAGGTGGCTTTCCCCACCTGTCAAAGGGCAGAGAGGCAGCATCCCTAGACCGGGAGTGTGGGGCAGGAAGCAGGCCAGTGCAGCCCCATCTGCCGCCAGGTGGCAGCTCAGTCTCTCTTCGTGGTCAGACCAGCCCCTGTGCCCGAGTACTGAGTGCCCAGAAGGGCGAAGGGCAGAAGGCTTCGGACCATTCTGGAACTTCTCCCCCACCTGCAGCCTTCCTTACCGTGGTCCTTGGTGGTGGGGCCCACACTGGGGAGCCCAGAGTGGCCTGTCTTGTCCTGGGGAGTCGCTCTCATGGTTGAGTCCAGTGCCGGCTCAGGCTCATCCAAGAAAGGCAAAGGCTGGTTGCTGGACAGGCCCCGGGGCAGCGTCTGCATCAACTTCAGCTTCCGGAACCGATTGGACATGCGGCTCCACCAGGACTGCCGAGACAGGGGAGCGGAGGTCATGCTGCAAGGACAGCCAGGGAGCCACACCTGCGCACCTGCTCCCTCTCCCCTCCTGGGCCGCAGCAGGCATTGCCAATCAATCACTGCACCCTTCCCCGATAAGCCAGGGGTTAGCCACTAATCCCTCTTGACCAGATGGCCATTTCTAATAGACTGAAGGTAGTTAATGTCTTCATCACACAGACTGAGAGATGGAGACCGGACAGGGGTGCCAACCTGCTCGCGGTAAGGCAGAGACCGACGGATGCAGAGGCAAGTCCAAGCATCTATCACTGCTGAGCCCCCTTCCCCATCCCAGGTGTCGGGACCCCGAGGCCTGGGTCATCTGCCCCAGAACCCACACTCATCTCAGAGATCAGGGAGGGTGGCAGCTAGATTGTCTGTCAACTTGATGAGACCTGTGTGAAGGTAGGGGTGGAGGCCAACCTCTCAGTCAAGCGGCAGCCTGAGGACACCTCCTTGTGGGTGTGGTCTTGTGTTTAAGAGCGAGAGATACCTCTCACTCTGCCTTTCTCTGCCCTCTGCCTTCCTGATTGCTGGGACCCCGTGCCTGTCTCCAGGGCTGGCCCCATGTGGCCACTGGACCCTGAGAGCTGTCCACCTTGGAGCCTCACAACTCTGCACCTGGTAGGCGTGTGACCTCCTGGCTTCCGATTCCCCTTTCAGGGTCATCAACCTGCAACCATGCGAGTCTGTGAGGGCCCGGCGGGCATCAGGCCCATGGACTTGAGTGGGACTGGGCTGGGGTGCCTTCCCGCTGTGAACTTGCTCCTTGATACAAAGTTATTCCTTGTACACAGATGAGTGTCCCTGGTCTGTTTCTTTAGACAGCTCAGGGAGGCAGGAGGGGCCTGGCCCCTGCAGAGGCGGCAGTGAGGACAGGGTGGAGGGGCATGTCGACAGTACCAGGTAAGGAACTCCTGGAGCTCGTGTGGGTGATGGGCACAGAAGGGTCGCCAAATGTGGGGGTCAGAGGAGGTGGTGCACAGCACCCCAGGCGGTCAGAGAAAAAGGCCGGGTTTGGTTTTGCCGTGTTGTTTTGGGGGAAATGGTCAGGTTCAGTTCTGGACCAACAGAGTCGTACGGGAAAGACCAGAAGATATTCAGCTTGCGGTTAGGAACAAGCAACTGGAGGCCGTTTCTGCCTTTCCGGGAGGAGGCCAAGGGGACCAGTGCACTGCTGCCCGGGGTTCCTGGGAGCCAGGGACTCAGCAACTATAACAATTACCTCGACACCAGGAGCAGAGCTCCAACACCCCGGGAGGAATGTTCCAGGATTAACACTGGGCACAATGCTAGTGAGCTCCCTCCATCTACCATCTGACATGCTATCTAAACCACCTTTAGATGGCTACTGTCACCCCAACACCAGTCCTATTATCCCCTAGTGTTCTCCCCTCAACTCAAACCAGTGTTGAGTTGACCGGAAGTGGCAGGCACCCTGCAGCCACCCCACCACCCCACCACCCACCTCTCTGCCTCTAACCCACACCCTTTTAGCTGGGAAAAGGCAAACCTTGAGTCCTCCCTTGTCATCGGGCAGCACTGGGAGGCTCCAGGGCTGTCTGGCCTTCGGGTGGGGCGGGGCTGGCTGGGGACTGGGCCGGCCTCTGTCCTTGTTCACCTGCATGCAAACAGATGCCAGCAGCCGAACGAGTTCTGTGTCTAAGGACACAAAAGGCGATGTTTTACCTGCAGACAGAACTGCTGGGCCACGGGCAGGGGTGTCCAAGGTGGCCCCCTTTCCTTCCCTCTCCCCTTGAGGACAGCCCCGCAGCTCCTTCCAGCCTGCACTGACGGTAACCGAGTCTGCATGCCATTTCCCAATAGTGGCGAGAGAGGCGAGCTGGAAACACGTGCCGGCCGCCTACCCAGAGCGCAGAGCCTGAAGCTCAGGGGGGTCGGGAGGCCTGTGAGCACGGCCCGGCTCTGCATGCAGCCGGCCGGCATGGACTCAGCCTGCACCACTCACTAGTTGTGCAGCTGCAGTAAGCTAAGAGGCTTCTCTGTGCCTCTGTGGGTCGAGGGTGGCGTTGGCCCACACAGGTCTCCGAGGGACCCTTCGTAGTACCGGGCACACAGTGAGATATGATGAGGGACCGTCAATCCAATGAGGTTAAAAAGAAAGTTCCCCTCAAAATACAGGCCAAGCTGTATATTGGAGTGTTTGTCTCTCAAAGACCATGCCTTTCTCCACCCCCACCGCTGCCCCCAAGTGTTCAATACCAGGCATCTGCTTCTTTGATGGCTGGGAAACATTCTCTGGGGGAGTGCCCTAGGGAAGGGCATCTTACTGGCAGAGGACAGAGGAAACTGGCAGTGGGTAAGGGAGAAGAACCGCACTGTAAGAGTCCCGGGCACGACCACAGTGTGTGCAGTCCCACCGGACGCTGGGGACCCCGACTCCCCATCATGTCATCTCTAGCTGGAGCCTTTGGTCAAGAAGCCCCAGGTCCCCTGATCTCGGTCACCTCGTGTGAACAAGAGAACATGGAGGTCCTCATCCCTGTGACTCTTGAGAGGATCCAGGGACTCCCAGCATGCCCTTGGGATGCCTGCGGGCCTTCAGCATGTGAGGGAAGAAAGGTCGGTGCCTGCCACCCCTGAGCTAAGCTGGGCCACAGAGCATCCACTGTCACCGCACTGAGGGCTGGGGAGGGAAAACTCCTCATAGCTGGCAGCTTTCTCAGAAGGACCTGCCAGCTCCTCCCCTCTCTGGGTGAGCTAGCAGAGGTGACAGAGGAGGGAGACACTGCCCTGTGAGCTAGCAAACTGGAAGCCCCAGTTCCCAGAAGGCCCGTGCCAGCAGGGAGGGTCAGTGGGATGGCAGGGGCCAGCCAAGGAGTGCGAGAGGTGGGGGAAATGACAGCGTTGGCCCAGAAGGTACCCAGGACCCTGCACCTGCACCTACAGCTAAGGGCTCCTCCTCTAAGGGTGACTGCTGGTCACAGAGGCCTGTATGAGCCTCCTTTGGTCTTCCTCGCAAGGCCTCCTGGGAGGCACCTGGAAGACTGGTGGGGACATAAGCCTCAGTGAGCCCAGGCCATGCAGGGAGTAAGCTCTGAGGACCTGACACTGGATTTCTCCCCCAAACAATCAAGTGGCTTCCAACGTGGCTAAGAGAGGCAGTGGGGATGCGGAGTCCCGCTGGGGGAGGCCGGGGTCACTGCGGCACGTTTCTCTCCAAGGAACCCACCCGCATCATTGAGCAGCATCACCAGGTCAAAGGCCGTGTATCCATTCTTGGCTCGGAGAGCCACGTCTGCCCCCTGGGCCAGCAGGTACTTGACGATTTCTTTATTCCTGGGGAGCAACGAAAGGCCAGTGTCACACGTCCTGCAGGAGCAGGCTGGGAACCCCAGCAGGGTCTCCAGGGTGGCCCAGCCTCAG